TTTTTGGCGTTATCACTCACAGGATGAGTATTGAGTGGACAATATACAAGTCTCCAATGGCGGTATCAATCAGTCTGGACAAAAATATTGTCCCAACACACTTTACACTATTTCGGACGTAGGTTCGAATCCTCGTCAAAGCCCTTGTGGATTTGTTCATTTAATATTGTCCCAATATTCCAAGGAGGGAACTAAGAGGATGTACTGAACGGGGTGAGGATAGCTTGAGCTACCTCATCCCTTTGTGTGTATTTTACCTCAATAAACTGATTTCAATTTTAATTTCAAAGAGGAGGCACTAGATTACAGACCAGTGTGTCATTGACAAGTATCTTCGTGTGACGTGCTGGAGAAAGTCATCAGGTTAAGAATGATGGAACATCTAGAGAGAAAATCTATGTGAGAAAAAAGTCAATATAGATTTAGAAGAGGGCAGTCGTGCTATAGAAACTTGGTTGGGCTCTATCTTGAGGTTATCTTCAGATGATTTCGGGGCTTTTTAGTGTCCCCGCGGCCCGGTCCTCCACCCCCAGGAAGCAGCCCGTGACAGCTGACTAACACCCAGGTACCTATTTTACTGCTAGGTAACAGGGGCATAGGGTGAAAGAAACTCTGCCCATTGTTTCTCGCCGGCGCCCGGGATCGAACCCGGGACCACAGGATCACAAGTCCAGCGTGCTGTCCGCTCGGCCGACCGGCTCCCATTTCAGGATATATGAAATTGTTTATGAAATAATTAAAGATGAGGTCTGATAAAGACCTTTTGTGCCCTCTGTAATGCTTTTTGCGCTACCGCTCACAGGATGAGTATGGGGTGCACAATAAACTAGCCGCCTCCAGCGGCAACAATCAAAATCAAAGGTGGAAGCTGGAAACACAAATGAGCCGAAGGAATATAAGGAAATACTCACACCCTATACGACTAGAAGGCACTACGGGCTCACCATAGCCCGTGCTACTTGGAACTTTGTTCCAGGTAGCGAATCTTTAACAACAACAACAACAACTATACGGCTAGTCAACAAAATAAATGCACTGAATGAAGACGTTGTAGAAGCCACCTCCATCCACAACCTTAAAATTCATTGTTGAATTTATCGTTAAAGTTAGAATAGTTAAATTCTAACGCAACACGTACAAGAAGGCCAGGAGCCAGATTCATGAAAGCACTTATGCAAGCACTTACGAACCTGTACATCTTTTCTCAATCTTTGGTGGCTTTCTTTCCAATTATTAAACAGTTAATGAGCTCCGAAGCACCAGGAGGCTGTTTATAACAATAACAACAGTTGATTGGCAAGTTTTCATGCTTGTAAACTGTTTAATACATGTAAACAACGCCATCAAAGATTGAGGGAAGATGTACACGTTCGTAAGTATTTGCGTAAGTGCTTTCGTGAATCTGGCCCTAGAAGGCGGGTATAAGGAGCTAAACGTCAACCCGTCTTAAGTAGCTCCTTATAGCAACCCTCCCTGCACCCCATTCTCCATGGAGAAATAAAGAGCACGCGGACAGCACGCTGGACTTGTGATCCTGTGGTCCTGGGTTCGATCCCGGGCGCCGGCGAGAAACAATGGGCAGAGTTTTTTTCACCCTATGCCCCTGTTACCTATCAGTAAAATAGGTACCTGGGTGTTAGTCAGCAGTCACGGGCTGCTTCCTGGGGGTGGAGGCCTGGTCGAGGACCGGGCCGCGGGGACACTAAAGCCCCGAAATCATCACAAGATAACCTCACAAGATAACCCCAGTTAACGCTTCTACTGCCCCCTTTTGACGCTCCCCTCACTGTAAGAGGGCATCTGTGCCCCTCACTGTAAGAGGGCATCTGTGCCCCTCTTCCCCTCTTCAGTACTAGCGAGCAGGAGCCCTCTCCCTCCCCTCTCACCTGTCCATCATACTCTGCCTGTTATTCTTGCTCCTCTCCGCCCCGCTGCTCCTGTAAACTCTCCATGGTACGGTACACTGAGTGTGTAATGCTGCCATTGTGGCGGTTCCCTACCATGACTGTGTGTGTGTGTGTGTGTGTGTGTGTGTGTGTGTGTGTGTGTGTGTGTGTGTGTGTGTGTGTGTGTGTGTGTGTGTGATATCTCCACTTTCACTATGGCACTTTCATTTCTCCCTAAGAGGTACTCTCTGTTCCTCCTTAGGACTATCCCCGATACAATATTGCCTCAAGCTTAAGAATTTTTTTTTTCACAGGATCACATTCTTTCCGACAGTCGCGGAATATGCAGTCTGGTTATTCTTCTCTCTCGTTTGATATCTGTTATCTTATCTTAGAATTCGAATAAATTTGTCAATCAGGATTTCGTTGATAAAACTGTCCTGATCATGTATGATTTTATATTAAGTTCGAAAGTCATAGTTTTCTTTACATTTAAATGATTGCTACCAGAAAGGCGAATTGTTAGAATACTTGTTTAAATAATATTTTTACTGTATAATACAATAACGGCTCTTTAACGACTCTTCTTCATGCTGTGAGAGTATTGTCTCCCTTAACCACTTCATTATGTAATTAATTTATTAAATAAATGTAATTAGCTTCCGGAACATTCATCACTTATCTTGAGGTTATCTTGAGATGATTTCGAGGCTTTTAGTGTCCCCGCGGCCCGGTCCTCGACTAGGCCTCCACCCCCAGGAAGCAGCCCGAGACAGCTGACTAGCACCCAGGTACCTATTTTACTGCTAGGTAACAGGGGCATAGGGTGAAAGAAACTCTGCCCATTGTTTCTCGCTGGCGCCTGGGATCGAACCCAGGACCACAGGATCACAAGTCCAGCGTGCTGTCCGCTCGGCCGACCGGCTCCCTACAAGCATATCAACAATATTGCACATTCTCCAGACCTTGAGAGGTAGAACGTGTCTCCAGGGAGCACCTTGAGGTTACCTTGAGATGGTTTCGGGGCTTAGCGTCCCCGGGGCCCGGTCCTCGACCAGGCCTCCTCGTTACTAAACTGGTCAACCAGACTGTTGGACGCGGCTGCTCGCAGCCTGACGCATGAATCACAGTAAGCGTTTCCTCTCTGAATGGCAACGCTAAAGTGCAAGAATTGGAAACCAGATCGCTTGGAGGAGCGCGGTCATTAGTGTTCCTCAAGTTCCATCTTCCAACGGATTGAGAAAGTTGGAGAGCGTATTTCCCAGAGAGTGGAGGAGGGCGCTGAGCCTATTAGCAGCGCCGTGGAGTCCATGGACTCTTGTAGTGTTCTTGACCTTCCTGAAGATGGCACCGCCACCTTCACACGAAGTGTGCCAGATAAGTGACAGGAATACCGAATGAAGTGTGGGTGACGCTGTGTGACTGTGCCGGGTATCCCTGTGAGATGGTACGCCTTTGGTGCTTATGCCTTTGGTTAGAGTTTCTATATAAAGTTGTATATTAATGAGTGACGCGTGTATGGAACTGTGGCCATTTAATTACACTCGCGGATAACATGCGAACCAATCTACCTTTTGACAAGTAGGACCCGATGGTGTCCAGGGGCCCGATTCACGAAAGCACTTACGCAAGCACTTACGAACGTGTACATCTTTCCTCAATCTTTGACGGCTTTGGTTACATGTATTAAACAGTTTACAAGCATGAAAACTTGCCAATCAACTGTTGTTATTGTTATAAACAGCCTCCTGGTGCTTCGGAGCTCATTAACTCTTTAATAATTGTAAACAAAGCCGCCAAAGATTGAGAAAAGATGTACAGGGTCGTAAGTACTTGCGTAACTGCTTCGTGAATCTGGCTCCAGAGCTCTCTGGTGTAAACGATGGTACTCTCATGGCTATTTGTCAATATAACAATCATTAACCCTGAATGTTGTGCTGTTCACCGTAAGCTCACACAACACGTAGTACTTTTAAATGAACAAATCCACAAGGGCCGTGACGAGGATTCGAACCTGCGTCCGGGAGCATCCGAGACACAGCCTTAATCGCCCTTGTGGATTTGTTCATTTGATGCATCATGTTAGTGTGATCTCTGTGTTTAACGTAGTACTTTTTTTAGCCAGCCTGGTTATCTTGAGGTTATCTTAAGATGATTTCGGGGCTTTAGTGTCCCCGCGGCCCGGTCCTCGACCAGGCCTCAACCCCCAGGAAGCAGCCCGTGACAGCTGACTAACACCCAGCTACCTATTTACTGCTAGGTAACAGGGACATAGGGTGAAAGAAACTCTGCCCATTGTTTCTCGCCGGCGCCTGGGATCGAACCCGGGACCACAGGATCACAAGTCCAGCGTGCTGTCCGCTCGGCCGACCGGCTGGTGCAGATAATAAAATTAGAGAAACATTGAGTAAAGGTTTTTTCTTGCCTACATCTTCAACAAGCGTTTATTAACACCATTCAATCACATTACACAAAAGTCCTCCACGCTATTAACTGTTTAATTTAATGGGCCAGCCAGAGGCTTAGGGCCCGCGCAGGAATATCCCTACGAAAAAAAAACTTTAATCACACTATCCCCAATTCTTACAATCACACTAAAACCAATTCTTATTATCACACTAAAACCAATTCTTATTATCACACTAAAACCAATTCTTATTATCACACTAAAACCAATTCTTATTATCACACTAAAACCAATTCTTATTATCACACTAAAACCAATTCTTATTATCACACTAAAACCAATTCTTATTATCACACTAAAACCAATTCTTATTATCACACTAAAACCAATTCTTATTATCACACTAAAACCAATTCTTATTATCACACTAAAACCAATTCCACAACAATAGTATTAATTCCCATTCCCCATTGTACTTGGGCCCCGCTCTACTATTCCAAGTTTCCTGCCTGGCCTTCACTATTCTCATCTCACCATCCCTACAGACCGATGATGGTGATGCGAAGAAGCCGTCGATTCGGGCAACTTGGCCGACGATCCTGGAGCACAATGGCCGTCAATCCGCCATAAGGAAAAGTTGATGGTAATGGTCAGAGTTTAAATGGGTCGGCCAAGTCTCCCGCCAGAAGCCTGACGCCTCCCCGGGGATGACGCACAAGCCCATCACGGCCACCAACCTGTGAGTACAGCAACTTGTCGAGAGGGGGAGGGGGTTGAGGGAAGGGGGGAGGGGTTGCTGAGGGAGGGGGGGTTGCTGAGGGAGAGGGGGGAGTTACTGAGGGAAGGGGGAGGGGTTGATGAGGGAAGGGGGGGGGTTGCTGAGGGAGGGGTGGGGGGTTGCTGAGGGAGGGGGGATTGCTGAAGGGGGAGAGGTTGCTGAGGGGAGGTACTGAGGGAAGGGGGAATTGTTGAGGGGGGAGGGTTGCTGAGGGGGGGTTGCTGAGGGAGGGAGGGGGGGTTGTTGAGGGAAGGGGGTGCTGAGGGAGGGGTGGGGGGTTGCTGAGGGAGGAGGGGAGGTTGCTGAGGGAGGGGGGGGGTTGCTGAGGGAGGGGGGAGGTTGCTGAAGGAGGGAGGGGGGGTTGCTGAGGGAGGGGGAGGTTGCTGAGGGAGGGGGGGTTGCTGAGGGAGGGGGGAGGTTCCTGAGGGAGGGGGGGTTGCTGAGGGAAGGGGGGGTGCTGAAGGGAAGGGGGGAGGGTTGTTGAGGGAGGGGGGGGGGTTGCTGAGGGAAGGGGAGGGTTGCTGAGGGAGGGGGGGTTGCTGAGGGAAGGGGAGGGTTGCTGAGGGAAGGGGGGGGGTTGCTGAGGGAGGGGGGGGGGGGTTGCTGAGGGAGGGGGGGTTGCTGAGGGAGGGGGGGGGGTTGCTGAGGGAGCAGGGGGGTTGCTGAGGGAGGGGGGGGGTTGCTGAGGGAGGGGGGGTGGCTGAGGGAGGGGTTGCTGAGGGAATGGGGGGGTTGCTGACGGAAGGGGGGGGGGTTGCTGAGGGAAGGGGGGGGTTGCTGAGGGAGGGGGGGGAGGTTGCTGAGGGAGGGGGGGAGGTTGCTGAGGGAGGGGGGGGGGTTGCTGAGAGAGGGGGGTTGGTGAGAGGGGGGGTCCTGACCCCTCAGAAATCCCCCTCCTCAGTTTCGTAGCCAACCAGAGTCGAGTGTGGACAATGAGGGGAAATTCCCAGCCAACTACCATGTCAAGTGTGGTAATGAGGGGAAATCTCATTACCACACTTGGTAATGAGGGGAAATCTCTCAGCTCACACCGGTTTTAAGTGTAGTCAATGTGGGAAGCTTTTGAGCAAAGCTTCGAGTTTTTGGCTTCGAGCTTCGAGCCACATTGAAGCTACGAGCTTCAATGTGGTTGTTATATTTTTTATATTATTTATATATACAAGAGTTCTTACATGACCCTGTATACAGGTTCGAACCCTCACCAGCCCTTGTGGATTTGTCCACTTCTTGCATCGCCGACCGTCCAAGTGGTTGGGCGCCATTCCTTTCCCCCGTCCCATCCCTAATCCTTATCCTGACCCCTTCCCAGTGCTATATAGTCGTAATGGCTTGGCGCTTTCTCCTAGATTGTTCCCTTTCCTGCTGACATTCTTGTACAGCCTAGCCACCAGTACGCGGAGCGTTTTGGGCAGGTCCCTAATCCTTATTTTGCCCCGGAATACGACCCGCCCAATCGGTCAACAACCAGGTATACCCATTTTACTACTATTTTCTTATCTTCTTGAGGTTATCTTGAGATAATTTCGGGGCTTTAGTGTCCCCGCGGCCCGGTCCTCGACCAGGCCTCCACCCCCAGGAAGCAGCCCTTGACAGCTGACTAACACCCAGGTACCTATTTTACTGCTAGGTAACAGGGACATAGGGTGAAAGAAACTCTGCCCATTGTTTCTCGCCGGCCCCTGGGATCGAACCCAGGACCACAGGATCACAAGTCCAGTGTGCTGTCCTCTCGGCCGACCGGCTCCCTGGAACCCCTGGTACAGTGATGACCTGTACACACTGAACCCACCCAACATTTTCTATACTATTTTCCCCTAGTTTAATCCTCGAAGTTTACTTGATATAAATCACCAAAATATATAGTTTGCCGGGAATTTTTCTTTTTGGTTTTTACATATTAGTGAACTTTGGAGTTTTTTTTAATATTTGTTATTGTAACTCTCCCTCAGTCCTCCTTTAGTCTATATCCTGCCCTCGTATCCCAGTTCCTATATCCTGTCCTCGTATCCCAGCTACTATATATCCTGTCCTCGTATCCCAGTTCCTATATCCTGTTCTCGTATCCCAGCTACTATATATCCTGTCCTCGTATCCCAGTTCCTATATCCTGTCCTCGTATCCCAGCTACTATATATCCTGTCCTCGTATCCCAGTTCCTATATATCCTGTCCTCGTATCCCAGTTCCTATATATCCTGTCCTCGTATCCCAGTTCCAATATATCTTGTCCTCGTATCCCAGTTCCTATATATCCTGTCCTTATATCCCAGCTCCTATATCCTGTCCTTATATCCCAGCTCCTATCCTGTCCTCACATCCCAGCTCCTATATCCTGTCCTCATATCCCAGCTCCTGTCCTCATATCCCAGCTCCTATCCTGTCCTCATATCCCAGCTCCTATATATCCTGTCCTCATATCCCAGCTCCTATCCTGTCCTCATATCCCAGCTCCTATCCTGTCCTCATATCCCACCTCCTATCCTGTCCTCGTATCCCAGCTCTTATATCCTGTCCTCACATCCCAGCTCCTATATATCTTGTCCTCATATCCCAGCCCCTATCCTGTCCTCATATCCCAGCTCCTATATATCCTGTCCTCGTATCCCAGTTCCTATATATCCTGTCCTCGTATCCCAGTTCCAATATATCTTGTCCTCGTATCCCAGTTCCTATATATCCTGTCCTTATATCCCAGCTCCTATATCCTGTCCTTATATCCCAGCTCCTATCCTGTCCTCACATCCCAGCTCCTATATCCTGTCCTCATATCCCAGCTCCTATCCTGTCCTCATATCCCAGCTCCTATATATCCTGTCCTCATATCCCAGCTCCTATCCTGTCCTCATATCCCAGCTCCTATCCTGTCCTCATATCCCACCTCCTATCCTGTCCTCGTATCCCAGCTCTTATATCCTGTCCTCATATCCCAGCTCCTATCCTGTCCTCATATCCCAGTTCCTATCCTGTCCTCATATCCCAGCTCCTCGCCTGTCCTCATATCCCAGCTCCTATATCTGTCCTCATATCCCAGCTCCTATATATCCTGTCAACATATCTCAGCTCCTATATATCCTGTCCTTATATCCCAGCTCCTATATCCTGTCCTCGTATCCCAGCTCCTATCCTGTCCTCATATCCCAGCTCCTATATCCTGTCCTCATATCCCAGCTCCTAGCCTGTCAACATATCCCAGCTCCTATCCTGTCCTCATATCCCAGCTCCTAACCTGTCAACATATCCCAGCTCCTATCCTGTCCTCATATCCCAGCTCCTATCCTGTCCTCATATCCCAGCTCCTATCCTGTCCTCATATCCCAGCTCCTATCCTGTCCTCATATCCCAGCTCCTATCCTGTCCTCATATCCCAGCTCCTATCCTGTCCTCATATCCCAGCTCCTATCCTGTCCTCATATCCCAGCTCCTATCCTGTCCTCATATCCCAGCTCCTATCCTGCCCTCATATCCCAGTTCCTATCCTGTCCTCATATCCCAGCTCCTATCCTGTCCTCATATCCCAGCTCCTATCCTGTCCTCATATCCCAGCTCCTATCCTGTCCTCATATCCCAGCTCCTATCCTGTCCTCATATCCCAGCTCCTATCCTGTCCTCATATCCCAGCTCCTATCCTGTCCTCATATCCCAGCTCCTATCCTGTCCTCATATCCCAGCTCCTATCCTGTCCTCATATCCCAGCTCCTATCCTGTCCTCATATCCCAGCTCCTATCCTGTCCTCATATCCCAGCTCCTATCCTGTCCTCATATCCCAGCTCCTATCCTGTCCTCATATCCCAGCTCCTATCCTGTCCTCATATCCCAGCTCCTATCCTGTCCTCATATCCCAGCTCCTATCCTGTCCTCATATCCCAGCTCCTATCCTGTCCTCATATCCCAGCTCCTATCCTGTCCTCATATCCCAGCTCCTATCCTGTCCTCATATCCCAGCTCCTATCCTGTCCTCATATCCCAGCTCCTATCCTGTCCTCATATCCCAGCTCCTATCCTGTCCTCATATCCCAGCTCCTATCCTGTCCTCATATCCCAGCTCCTATCCTGTCCTCATATCCCAGCTCCTATCCTGTCCTCATATCCCAGCTCCTATCCTGTCCTCATATCCCAGCTCCTATCCTGTCCTCATATCCCACCTCCTATCCTGTCCTCATATCCCAGCTCCTATCCTGTCCTCATATCCCACCTCCTATCCTGCCCTCATATCCCAGCTCCTATCCTGCCCTCATATCCCAGCTCCTATCCTGTCCTCATATCCCAGCTCCTATCCTGTCCTCATATCCCAGCTCCTATCCTGTCCTCATATCCCAGCTCCTATCCTGTCCTCATATCCCAGCTCCTATCCTGTCCTCATATCCCAGCTCCTATCCTGTCCTCATATCCCAGCTCCTATCCTGTCCTCATATCCCAGCTCCTATCCTGTCCTCATATCCCAGCTCCTATCCTGTCCTCATATCCCAGCTCCTATCCTGTCCTCATATCCCAGCTCCTATCCTGTCCTCATATCCCAGCCCTCCTATCCTGTCCTCATATCCCAGCTCCTATCCTGTCCTCATATCCCAGCTCCTCTAGCTGGCACCGCTGGCTGGCTGGCACCGCTGGCTAGCTGGCACCGCTGGCTAGCTGGCACCGCTGGCTAGCTGGCACCGCTGGCTGGCTGGCACCGCTGACACACTTGCCTGATACACACCTGAGACACACCTGATACACACGTGCCTGATACACACCTGAGACACACCTGAGACACACCTGAGACACATGATATTCGTATTGTTTTACAATCACCAAATTACAGTATGTCTCTTCAATTACTGGCATTTCATTACGCTTTATCTCACGTTCTTCAGTCATTCAGGAAACTCACACCATCCACTAGTGAAAAACACGCAGCATGGATAACGAAAAACATGGATAACGCAGCATGGATAACGAAAAACATGGATAACGAAAAACATGGATAACGCAGCATGGATAACGAAAAACATGGATAACGCAGCATGGATAACGAAAAACATGGATAACATAGCATGGATAACGAAAACATGGATAACGTTATCATTTAGACTA